GAAGGCAGGCGGGTGCGCCGTGACCGGGGTGGCTTCTAGCAGGCAGCAAATGGCTAGCACGCTGGCGCCACCTGCTGGGCAAATGCGCCCCGCGCCTTCCTGAGGTCCTACCTCTGTGCCAGCTCGTGCATGAGTCAGCAGCTTGGCCAGGCACCTTGGACCCACGATGGAGGGTTGCTGCTTTGGGGGTGGAAGCGGCAAGGGCTGGGGGGGAGCAGATGGCAGCACCAGCGGAGAGCTCACGGAACAGGCCACCTCCCCAGAGGCAAGCGCGGCTGAACAGCTGCTCGGCTTGGCTCACTGCTCACTGCCTCAGGGTGGCAGGGCCTGGATGGCCCGCTCAGACCCCTGAGCTGGGGTCCACGCTTCCAGGCAGCTGCTGGGTGGGTGACTGCGCCTCTGTGAGCTGCTGCAAGCGCTTTGCCCTGCCACGGCTCATGCCAGGCCCTTCGGGATGTGTGAAAGCCAGTGCCACAGGCTGCACAGCATGGCAGTGAGACCTACTGGTTAGAGATGGCACTTCCTTACTGTGCCACTGCTTATTTGAGGTGACCTTGGTCAAGTCACTGGCCCATGCGGTGCCTCAGTTTCCCTCTTTGGAAAAAGGAGCGTATGCTACTGACCCAGTGCCCGCCTCACCCAGTGTTGGTGTGTGTTATGTGTATGGCACGCGGAGGCCAAGGCCTCTCATGGGTTCAGTGTCACAGAGGGCTCGGAGTTGGACATGGCAGCTTCCTTCGGGGTGCCTCCGGGGGTCGCCCCTCCACGGCGATCAAGCCATGTTCATGAAAGGTGTGAGCAGGCCTTGTGTCTCACCCACAGGGCAGGAAAGGGAAAGCGGGGACCAGGGGCAGAGGAGCGGGGCATGGCGGAGACAACAGAGGGCCCCTTTCAGAGAGCTGGTGACAGCACCAAAGGCAGCAGAATGGTGACCGATGGCAGCGTAGGGAAATGCTAGGGCGGCAAAGACACCATGCGGCTGAACAGAGGCGCTGCCAGGGCCCAGCGTGTCTCACCCACAGGGCAGGAAAGGGAAAGCGGGGACCAGGGGCAGAGGAGCGGGGCATGGCGGAGACAACAGAGGGCCCCTTTCAGAGAGCTGGTGACAGCACCAAAGGCAGCAGAATGGTGACCGATGGCAGCGTAGGGAAATGCTAGGGCGGCAAAGACACCATGCGGCTGAACAGAGGCGCTGCCAGGGCCCAGCCTAACACACCACACCACACCCCCCCCCTCCGGGATGGGCAAAAACCCTCCCATGGCACCAGAGATGCTCCAGGACCCCCAACCCCACTCCCCTTACCCCCCAGCTCTCCATAGCCTGTCTGTGGATCACCCGCCGGCACAACCCCATGGAGGGCAGCGAGCGCTGCAGGCCAGTTTCAGCGCGGGGGGTCAGGGCCGGCCCTAGGCCCACTGGCTTCCCCTCCCCCACCCCGGCAAGGAATAGCTCCGGCGCCCTTCCGGTTTGGGAACCGTCCGAGCACCTCATGTCCTGTCGCAGCACC